TTGTCGCAGTACTGCCTACTATTGTTCTAGCACAATGATATTATATGAATGTGCTTTGTGTGATCTTATATTTTGGGAATAAAATAATATATTTTGTTGCAGGTTTCTGTTAACCTATCAGTTTGTCCCAGAAAATAGCCTAAACTTTTTTTAAAAGTGTGCCCGTATTCAACAATTATTTTGGAAACGGTGGTCAATTGAATACTTGAAAAATCAACAACGATTCGAAGAACTTTTAAAAAAATTATTAGAACGGCCTTCGCAAATATAATTCTCAATTAAGAGCTTTTGATCTGACATTAAATTTTTATTGTCCAAAAGGTTACAGCTACCTAAGAAGAAACTTTAACAAGACTCTTACCAGACCCAAAATATCAAAATGTTATTAACAAATTGATGGTTCTCTTGGTATCCATAGTGAAATTCTCCTCGTAACTACTAAAAGAAAAGTAACAATGGCAACTCAAGAAGACAAAAAAGTCTTTGGCAAAACAAAAACATGAGACTTGTTTAAAAATCTAATTATTGTTTGAAGTTTTACTATTAATAATTTTTGATAAAGTTTTATATGTATTTTTCTCTTTGATAACCTATGTTTAATTTATTAGGATCAAAAATAAAGTATAATTTTCATTTCAACTAAGAAAACTCTCAAATTGTTTACCTTTCTCTTTGTGCCCGCTTCCTCATTTCCTCTACTTGTCTCGCGCTCCCTCTAGTAGTAATTGCTCGGAGGATGTTCATCAAGTTTTTAACATAATCATTACGTTCAAACGCAGCTGGGGCATACAGAGACTAAACGGGAGAACCTGAAATCGGTAGAATCCACTGCCAGTTAAAAAAGCTGTTTTGTCTCGATCATCAGCGTGTACTTCCACTTGTCACTATTCCGCTCTTCAAGTCTAGCCTAGATAACCATTTTGAAACTGATAAAGCGATGAGTGTGTCATCTATTTGGGGAGTCAATAGCTGTCTTTTTGCGTTATCTGATTAATCTTCAATAGTCTACACAGAAACGAGTACATCCGTATTTCTTTGTTACTAGGACCACAAGTAAGCACCAGGGATCCGAAGCTTTTTTAATAATATTTTTATCCATCATGCCCTGTATCATATTTGCTATTTCTTTCTGTTTAGCAAATGAAAGTCTTTTAGGTGCTTGCCGTATTGATCTTGCATCGCCTTTATAATTTCTATGCTGGAAAAGACTAGTAACTTTTCCTTTCTCGAAAATGTCACAGTTGCTTTAAAGTCTTTGACTTTTCTGGAATTAGTTGATTTACATTAAGAGACATAGCTACCAGAATTCCTTTGCTCACAGATTCTTTACTTTCCACAATGCCCACATGTAAACCGAAACGAAAGCTTCAGAATTTTAAGGTACTTCTATATCTTCTGCCACTAGGACCTCTATCGGTTGAGTCTTCTCTTCCGTATTTAGGACAATTTCCTTGTTTCCAATTTCCAAGATCTTGTTTTGAAGGTCGATGATAAACTTATTTTGCATAATGTCCATACCAATTACACACTAATTCTTAATATATAAGTTATTATATAAGTGTTCTATCAGGGTATTTTCAATCTGTATGGTTGCTTATATCTTACCTAGAACAGAAGTAGTGTGCTCTATAGCTGTTTCCAAAACTTCTTTGAATTGGTCATGGTTTTCGTTGCAGGATCCCTGTTCGAATAAAAGACTTGGTTGCATCAGTATCAAAGACAAAGGTGCTTTTTTTTTATCGATAGGTTCTGTTCGTTTTTATTTAAGGTGTAAAGGCCAATTTAAAAACCCTCTGTTACAGCCAACTCCTGCCCCGTAATGTCGACTTTTATTCGTTTCCCCGATTATTGCTAGAAAGTCGGCTTGGTGTGGATAACCGGCTTCTCCGGAAGGCATATGTGTTGATCTAGGTAATTTTCTAGCCTGATTTTCTGATTATTGATTTGTAGAACTAACCCTGCTTCTAGAGGTTCGTTGAAGGTGTCCGATTCTTCTGCAATTAAAGCATCTTCTGCTCTTATTTTGGCTATTTCGATGCCTATTTTGCAGAAGGTTTAAGATTTGTAAGAGAGTGGTTTAAAAGATGGTATTAGTAGTGGTCTTTTCAATTTATTTGAATCCAAATTCTCTAAATTTTAAAGATCTAGACAGTATTTTTGCTTTCAGTGTCTGTGGATAGGTCAGATTTAGCAATCTATATCGGCCTCGAATTCCTGTAGACTCTCATTATGTTTTGACTACGAACTTTTAGTTGGCTTTGGAATAGCTCTTGCAAATGCTGCTGGTCATACCTAGTCTCAAAAGCTTGGACGAGAGACGAATAACTGGTTTCCTCTTAGGGAAGTAGCTGCAAAACAGTTGCTGTCTGTCCTCGCAGCGACCTATCAGTGAAGCCGCCATCTCCTTCTCGGTACAGCTATTGACTCTAACTGCAGCTTAAAATTGGAGTCGATACGTTTTCCATGTTTTTCTATTGTCAAACGTGGGTGGCTGAAAGGTCTTGCTAATATGGTTTTGTAAAACTGGAGTTCTAACGTGGCTTAGTACGGTTATAGATATAGACGAAGTAGTATTTTTAGCTTTAATGTTGCTTAGCGAAGCTCAGCTATTAATTTTTTTCTCTAATTCTACTATTTCAGTTTTAATTTGTCTTTCAAACTCTGCTCTAGCCTTTTCTTGTTGTTGCTCTAAATTAGCTTTTAAGTCTCTTGTTGTTGGGCTAAGAGATATACTCAAATATTAAGCTGACCTACCTCTTACTTGAATTTACCATAAATTTGTAGCAAACCGTTCATAATTTCCACCTCTGCTTTTCTACGATTTTTCTTCTTTTTTGTTATTTTTTTTCCTGCGCCTTTCCTTCTTCTCTTCTCAACTTTTCTTTTCCTCTTCCATCTTCAAAAACCATGCTTGTATACCTGAAGTAGCCATGCCTGCTTCGTACTTAGTTGATCTTGTATTTACCATAAACTCTTATTTTGGATCCTGTTGCTGCCACTAATGTTACACTGGTTTTTTTAACACAATTTATTTCAACTCAACTTTTAAAATTTAACTATATAACTTATAACATGAACTCACAACGTTTATCATAACTCTGACGTTAGGATCATCGACTTGTATAGCTCGCTTTAACTTTCTAGAACTTTCTCGAACTGTCCAGATTTTTCTTGACAAGGAATGACATTTTCAGACATTTCTGGACTATTCCATCTGCTTCTTTTACTCGTACTTTTGCTTATGATGACCGCAGCAAATTCTAGTGATGGGTAACATGGCACTTCTTTTTGTATTCGTACATTTTCCATAATAGCCACAGGCTCACATACTTTGATTACTATACGAGGCAAGAGAGAGGTCCGACACGCCTAACATAGGGCGCGGCCATTTTGAACCCTGTGACACAGTTTACAGCTAAAGAATCAGATCGCTCACTCTGCGTCGGCAATTTTGATCTCAATGTTTTAGTTTATACACTGTGCAACTCGGATAATACAATATATGACAACCGCCTATAATAAAACAGCAGTCTTCTGCGTATCCTGAATTTGTATCCCTGGAGTGGATGTTATTTTGGAACTTTCAACTGGTCCGAGTGAGCTAACTAATTCTTTAGCAATAAACTGTGACTTCAAAAATAATATTCACTGACACTGACAGCAGCAAGCAAAATATCAGGTGCGTTTTAGCTCGGAGTTTTAATCACCCGCTTCTCCTTCCGGAATTGTCAATTTAGTCGTTTGCTCGGTCGTTTGAACCTGTCAGATTTAAATAAGAAAACCGAAAATTCCGAAGCAGAAGCGGATGATTAAAACGAACCTATTAAAAATATTGCGCCAAGATGTAGGCAACACGTAATAAGGGTTTAAAATGGCGGAGTTTTCTATCTCCTTTTAAAAGGCACTCAGAAAGCTGCGCAGTGCGACCATTCTCCGTATAGTAAAAGAAAATCAAAGTATGTGCGCAGGCTACTGAAGGGTACAAGATAACAATGTTAATGAGTAAAAGGTCCGAATTGCGAACTAAATTATGCTAATTAATACGAAACCGCTAATTAATTTAGACAAGTTATTATTGTAAATTGTTTAGCTGGTCACTCTAGATACATATTAGAATGAAAAGTTTCTAATATTTAATTGTTACATGAGTAACATTGCCGACTCTATCTATAGTCATGAATATACCAATGCAACACCGCAGCGAGTAAATGCATCCAGACTACGCGCTACAAAGTGAGGTAAAATACTTAAATACTTATATTTAGTCTATAAAAACAGATTTCAAGATAAACAGATTTCAAGATAAACATATTTTAAGATTTTAACTACTTTTACTAAATGACAGGACTGATATTAATTTTAAAATTTGATACTAGACCTTCAAAACTGTCGGTAATATCGGATTTTTCAAACATATCACTTAATTTATTGGAACGTTCGATCTGTTCCTTTTTTCTTTCGGTATGTGATTTTCTGGAGGTAGGTGTGGTTTTGACGGATATTTAGACATATTTGGAAAAATAAAAGAATATGCATTCGGTGTAAGCTTAGCTATTACAGGAATTTTTATTAAATTTCCATCGGTTTGTAAATAATTGAATCGTTTATTTCAGAAACCACCTAAGCGACAAAAATTCCAAAAGTGTTGTTTTGTTGGTACTGGTTACTTCGGAGGTGAATACATCGTTTAGTGCAGAAATAACCTATGTTCCATATCACCAATGCTATTTGGCAGCCTTGAAAAGAATCCGTTTATTTCAGAAAGAACCCAAGCGCCGTCGCATAGGTTCTTTCTGCGGTATATTTCACTCGCGATGGTTGGCGCAAGTTTTTGGCGGCCTTGACGACACGTGTTCCGTGGCTCACTGTTTTGTTTGCAGTTTGTATCGAAGCTTACAGACATCCAAACACTGAGCGGATAATATTATTTTTCGTGCGTTTTTGGTGAAAAATAAGGTGTTATTTTGTGGTTTATCATACATTATTATAGTTCTTAAGCCATGTCTGATAGTTCGGATGAAGAACCTAATCCCAAGCGTAGGCGTGGAGTTGTGCACGAAGAAAAATACCAACGGAACATTATTCGGAATGCTAGGCTCAAAGGATTGCAGTACGTCTCGTACAAAGGAAAAGAAGTTCCCAGCAAAGCCCCGGTGAATGATATAAACTGTAAGTGTCCTTTGAAATGTTATTTGAAACTTACGGATGAAATAATACGAGAACAATGGGAAACATTTTACTCTTTGGAAAGTAAAAACACCCAAGACACGTACCTCCAAGCTTTAATGGAGGTTATGCCTGTGAAACGTAGACGCAAAAACCGCAGCCCTAATGAATAATGAGCAAGCTCAAGAAACCCCTGACGTGCCTACTGGTGACTTGGAAAACCGAAAATCCCATTCATACAAGTATAACTTGAAAGTAAATGGTGCTCTTATTCAAGTTTGCAGAGGTGTTTTCTTGAAAGTGTTTCAAATTTCTGACAATAGAGTCAAAAGAATAAATAAATGTTCTGTCCTTCACAAAAGTCCTTTAGATATGAGGGGAAAATCTAGAAGTGGAAACGCACTTCCAGGTAACGTTTGTGTGAGAATACAGCAGCACATTGAGAAATTTGATGTCAAAGAAACCCATTATGGGGGAAAACCTGAAAAATATCTTGACGCTAGGCTTGATGTCGCAAAAATGCATGCAATGTTTATTTTAGACAACCCTGATCTAAAAAATAAAGTAAAGTATAGTTTCTACAACAAATACTACAAAGAGAACTTTGCCTACTGTTTTGGAAGGCCACAAGTTGAAGTGTGTTCAACTTGTAAAAGACTGTCGGCCAAACTGAAAGACAAGGGTTTAAGTGACAATGCCAAAAGAAATGTAGCTGCTGGAAAAATGGTACACTCAAGGCGAGCAAAGAAGTTTTACAAAGCTATGGACGAGGCAAGCAAAAACAAAGATGATGACACGGTCGCACTTGCGTTCGACTATATGCAAAACTTACCGTTGCCACACATACCTGTACAGGAGGTTTTTTATATGAGGCAGCTCTGGGTAAATGTGTTTTCGTTACACGATTTGAAAACCAATTCTTCCAAACTGTATGTCTATCATGAGGGCGAAGCAAACAAAGGCCCAGACGAAGTATGTTCAATGCTACTAAAGTATTTCAATGACATTCCAGTTAATGTTAAGCATCTCATACTATTTTGTGATGGCCCATCAGGCCAAAATAAGAATCATACAGTTGTGCGTTTTTTATTAAAGCTCTGTGACTCAGGACGCTTTGAAACAATAACTCACAACTTCCCTGTACGTGGCCACTCATTTTCCCCATGTGGCAAAGATTTTGAAAGCATAAAGCGTCTATTGAGAAAGACGGACAGGATTTATACTCCTGATGAATATGCAGAGCTCATGCTAAAAGCTAGTAAGTGTGGCCGATTTACTGTATATCACCTCACATCAGACGATGTTCTCAGTTTTAAAAAGTGGTGGCCCAAATCATATAAGAAAATGACAAATTCGGACGAAACTTCAGGCAGGAAGGTACCCAAAGAAAATAAGCAGCCATTCAAAGTGTCCAAGTACAAGCAGTTTCTCTACAACAAGGATACTCCGGGAAAATTGGTCGCAGGCGAATACATTGGAGGAATAGCAACGTCTACCTTCACATTGTTAAAAACTGCCAACCCTCCGGAACTACCAACAGAGAAAGCTTATCCTTTGGGCAAGGTATGTTTACTTTTATTTTACCAAGGTCATTTTAAACGTTTATATTTTTACTTTTAGCTAAACATTTTTGTAGGACATACCTAACAAATTTTAAAATTTATCGGGTTTTGCACAGTGAGATTTTTGTTTTTAGGTCCCAATCAACCAAAAAAAGATTGATGATATTAAAAAGTTGATAGAATACACTGTTGGATATGAAGCCTTTTTACGACACCATCATCCAATGGCCAACAACTGACCACGAGTTGCCAGAAAACATGCCAGAAGCTGAATAGACCAGATCTTTTGAATAATATAGACATACTGTAGCGTGTAGTCTACTTGTACGAGTATTTTCCGTTTAATGCCTAATAAAAACACTCTTGTTTATACTTAACTGTTTCTGTTACTTACCTTTGATACCAAAACAGGTAAAAATTAATCGTTTGACTTAATTTCAATATTAATTTTTAAAAAATCACTTTGGATTACACTAATTTATTGCAGAAAGCACCTAAGTGAAAAAATTTCAAAAATTTATAACTTAAAAACTTGAAGGAAAAAAAATTTAACAAAATAGATTATTCCAATAGCATGTTCTTGATGACAAAAATGTGAGGGATATTAACTCGAGCGCCGCATCGCCAGAATTATCTTTGATATGCTAGACGTTGGTAATGGCACGAAATTTGAATACTAATTTGATAATTTTTAATTTATCATTTCTTATATTTTATCATTACATTGCTACAAATAAAATGAGTTTTCCTCGAAAATATTATGTAAAATACCACAAAAATATTGTCAATATAGAGTTCCTCAAAGCAGTTAATATCGACAGCGGAGGGCCTTATTAGAATTAAAAGGTGATATGTACACAGGTGAAAGGTAGGGGTATATTTATAAGATAGTAAATTTTAAACATAAAAGTTTTGTTATAAAATAGTCAATTGGAAAATATAATATTTAGATAATTAATTAAATTTTTTTAATAGTTATAGTTTTCTCATATAAAGTTAATAGCATTTTTAGGAGTACATTCGCCTGAGAGTAATATTTAAACATTTGAAATATGTCGGTAATGAATGCGTAGATTTAGAAGCGAAAAAGGCATGTGATAAGGAGTTGTTGACGGAGGTGGCAGTTTTTCTAAATTTAGTGACTACATATAAAAACAAATTAGAAAAAACTGGGAACCAAATTATAAAAAATACAGCTTCAATTCTAATAATCACTATTTTACCATCCATAAAAAATTGCCTAGGGTAATTTCGTATATTGATATATTTGGATTAAATAAATTCCAGTCTGGAAACATTACAAGGTTAAAATTTAACCATGGGCGCTTTCCTGCCCATCTTAATAAAATAATTAAAATATTCTACACACACACACACACACACACACACACACAACACACACACACAAAACACACACACACACGCACGCGCGTACGCCCCCGCCCACCCCCCTGCCCAAGCCCGCGCGCACGCCCGCAAACACATACACTCACACACCCACACGCACGCCCTCACGCACGCCCGCACGCACGCCCCCGCCCACGCCCCTCCACACGCCCCCGCCCACGCCCGCAACACACACACACACGCACGCACGCACACACACACACACGCCCGCACGCCCGCGCTTACCCCCCCCGCCCTCTCCCCCGTTTACGCACCTGCCCACGCCCGCAACACACACACACACACACAGAGAGAGAGAGAGAGAGACAATCATCCAGAAAATAGTTAAAATGTATTCAGGGGACCCCAAAACGTAAAAATCTGTCAAAAACTGGAGGTCGAAAACTTTGCTTATTGCTTATCTGTATACAGATAGGAAAGTAAAAATGACTGCACTACCGTTAATTAATACTCTCCAAACCGTATTGTTTTATTTTTCTGTGCATAGCATTTCTCGTAATGTAAACTTTTCTCCTACCACTTACGATGCGGTAAGCTAGACACATATTACCAATACAATTAATTCACACCTAAGCCTGACCACTTATATTGCCTCGAAAATACCTACAGGATTACGAGACCCTTTTATAATCGCAAGTAAAGAAGATTATATTGCGTTGAGATTACACCCACCGCTCACCGATTTGAATCTTTATTACATCAGGGAATGAAATGAAAAAGGTATTTAAAGTGTGTAGTGATGTAAATTATATATCAATATTTTTGATTTATATAAAGCTATTTAAAGTATGAAAAATTTTCAAATAAAATTCAACCTCAGTACGGATTCAATTTCTTAAAATATTTGATAATTTATATTATAAATATATTACTAGCTACACAAAAAAACTAAGTTTAGAAATCATTTCTCTTATTTTTTTTAGACTATTTAGAATTTAAATAATATAATTTTTGATAAATCTAGTTTTATAAAATATACTTGTTGCAAAAGCGCGCTTTTATACAGGAGGGGAGTTTTAGAATAAAGTACTGTAAACTGGGGAACTAATTATTAAGAAAATCTAAATATAATTTTCCTGTAAATGTCCCAGATTTCATTTCACAAGATAATAAAGTGAATTTTATAAATACATAATTTTCTAAATATCTTCCCTTATGGTCAAGACTTTAACTTAAAAATATGTATATGTTAGTTAATTGTCATTATTAGTTGACACATTGTATTTCGATAAATTACAATAACCCATTGGCATAGAATCAAGGGTTATGAAAACACTTTTAGTACAAACTTTTTGAACACTCTATATTTCATAAATTAATAATAATAAATATTCTGCATGTTATTTTTTACAAAAAAGCGAGCAAAAAAGAGACTCTTGGTTGATCTCTGTAGAATATTCCATTTTTGAGATTTTTCAGTCCTACTCAAACATGAAATCTATGTACATTATGAAATTCTAAAAATTAAATCTTTTATAAAGAGCCGATTTTATAATTAATATTAAAAGGCTCATTAACTAATGGGAACATTAGGTCCATAAGATCTTGGTCCCATTAAGTAATAAATCTTTTAACATTCATTATAAAATCGCCTCTTGTACATAGATTCCATTTTTGAGTAAGACTAAAACCAAAAAATCTTGGAAATTGAATGTTCTACAGAGATCAACTAAGAGTCCCATTTTGTGAGAAATTGCATGAGGAATAATTACTATTCTTAACTTTAATAAAATATAGGGTGATAAAAAAATTTGGAATAACATTTTTTTCCTAACCCTTGATTCTATGCCAATGGGTTATCGTAGCTTATCAACACAATGTGTTAACTAATAATGATGATTAGGTAACATATAGGTGGTATATATTTATTTGTTATAGTCTTGGACGTAAAGGAAGATAGAAAAATATGTATTTATGAAATTCACTTTATCACCCTGTAGATTGAAAACTGGGATTTTTAAAGAAAAATTATATTAAGCTTCTCATAATAATTAGTTAAGATCTACTGTCTATGTAAATTGGCAACACATGAAAATCTTTTTTATTAATAATTTTAGGAAAAAAGTTATTCCTTATAAAAAGTCAGGCATGAACTAAAACCTGAAATACAACCATCAAATATCAAATTTTATCAGTCGTATAAAGAATAAAGTTACTTTACATTTGAGTAAAACTAATATTTTTTGACAAACCTCGTATACCACTAAAAAAATTTATTATTTGATTACTGTATTACAGGTTTTAGATAATGCAGAACTTTTTATAAAAAATAACTTTTTTCCTAAAATTAATAATAAAAAGTTTTCCATATGATTCCAACCTAGGGGGACATACTGTATAATAAGCTGATTTTAATGAAAGTAAATGAACTTGTAAAACAAATAAAAAAATTATTTAATTATCACTGTACATTTTTATTGCTTCAGCTTAAAAAAGTAAGTATAATCCATAAAAATTAATATTAAAACATAGACAGGCAACAGTATTTACGAGTAAATATATGAAGATTTGCATAAGCACAATAAGTTGTCATTTAGGAATCAGTAATATCTATTTAATGTCAAAATTAAAAAAATCCATTTATAAGCGTGTGGAATCAAAATTGTTACATGTTGATTTTAGTTTTAGAATAATTAAATAGGGATGGCATTTAAAACACATTCTTAGTATAAAGAATACTAACTTTTAATAAAATATTGATTTGTCTTGAATAAGAACCTTTGGTAATTTAAAGGATACAGGTATTTAAAATATATCCTTAATCCACATCATTTTTAAAAAGGCATTGCTTTGTTTTTGAATAAAACTTTTAATATGATTCAATTCATTGAATTTGTTGTCTTACCTTTTGCTTTTAAGATCCTGATGGTTTTATGAGCAGAAAACGTGTAGCATCATGACCTGCGAGTATGCTGCTAGTATGTGGTAGTTATTTCACTTAGTTTTCACCCCTTTTAAATCACTATTTAGTTGTATTTTACGTTTGTTTACATTTTATTTCAATAATGTTTTGACATTAATTATTATATCCGAAATTCGGGTTATCTTCTTCTTTCTAGGAAATACCTGTCGTCTAGTTTGTACGGTCCGATAGCCAATTCTTGTTCCGTGGTACGAATTTGACAGATAACATTAATGGGATATTTGGTGTTGTGCTATTTGAAATCAATACCATTGATTGTCCATGACGGCATATTATATTAGGGTACTTTTCTAGGAAAATTGGGTTTAATACTTAACTATAGTTAGGAATAATATTTTATTAGGATGTTAAATACACACATAAATACATTTGGGGTTGAATTAGATTACTTTAGATAAGTTTTCTGGTAACTTGTGGCGATCACCGGAAGTGTGATTTCCAAAATATGCATTGTCATATCCTACTTGTTGAAGCCATCTTGACTTCTGACAAAGGGGTTAAATACGCCGTAGCCATGAGGTTCGTGGTGAATTATTTTTCGTCTGCTTGCTGGGTAAGGTACCGGGGGTACGGGTTTGAGTTTGACTGTTCGCCTGGGTCGTCGCGAAGCCCGTGTATAATACCGAAACGTTCGTCGCCGATAGTGATCGGATTACAAATCACGTTGCACAATCGCACAAGGGTAGGTACCCTAAACCATTTTTGGGAGTCTTACGACCGCGGTGAGCGAAGTCTGCTAACGGCCCGCACTACCGACTTCCTACATCAGATCTCCAGAGGGTTGTTGTCAACAACCTCGTTTGATTTCGTCCGCAGTTGCTGTGCTGTACCAGTGTTCCGGAAAATTCCAGACGCATCAGGGTGATGCGCTGTGATTGTTACGTAGTCCAGTTTTTAATCATTTGATTTCCTGCAGTCCTACAAGTTCTAAGCCAGTTTCCTGTCCGGGGTAATCATAACCAACACCAGTGGTGGAGAGTTCCATCGCTTAATGGGTTTCTACCAGAAATCAGGTATTTGAAAGTCTGTAAACCAAGGTATGAAAGACCTTCAGTCTAATAAGTAATAACTTCCGTGAATCTAATAAATT